CCACCACCCGGCTGCTTCTTGCTCCACTCCAGCCACATCTGCTGCAGCTTCTCCTGCCCTCCCTGCAGCTTCTGGTCCATGCCCTGCTTGAGGTGCTCCACCTGGGAGGAGAGGCAGCGCCTGGCGTGAGTGGTCTGCCACAGCCCTGGGGTGGCATGGCGGGCCGGGGGACGTGGGGATGGGTCCTACCAGGTCGAGGGTGCGCTGGAGCTGGGCCAGCACGTCCTGGCTGCTGTGGCGGGCACTCTGCAGCTTGCCCAACGAGTGCTGGAGGGCTCGGTGCCGCACCTTGGCCGAGAGGGAGCCCAGGCGCACGAAGTAGCTCTGCTGCTGCTTCTGCTGCTCCGTTTCGAAGCCCTCCACGGCCGTGGCCAGCTTGGCTGTGGGAGAGGAGCTGCTGAGGTGGCCCCACCACCCCCACGTAGAGCCAGCATCGCCCTGCCCAGGCTCTACCCACACCTCTCCAAGGGGACCCCCAGGCCATGCCCTAGCTCCAGGGGGCTGCGATCAGCTCCTTACCCAGCTCCTCATCCGTCATGGGCAGGTAATGGTCCACCAGCTCCTCCGACTTCTCCAGCATGGAGCCCATCCCGCTCACCACCATCTGGCCCACAGTTGAGCCCATGACGGTGCTGACGCCGCTGCTCACCGCCGACTTGGTCAGCTCGACGCTGCCCTGCACGGCCCCTTTGGTCATGTCCATCACACCCGTCACCGCATCCTTGGCCCCAGCCACGGTGCTGGTCAGGACATCCTTGGCCCCCGTCACTGTGGACGTCACCAGCTGCTTGGTGTCCGAGATGAGCTGGTTGGGGGGCGAACAACCCTCTGTTAAGCGGCACTGGGAGGGGGACCGCAAGCGTGTTTGCCCACCCCACCCCACGACCTTCTCTGTGGGCTGCTGCAGGATGGGCAGCTTCTCCTCCAGCTTATCCAGCCCTTTGCAGGCGTATTCGTTGGCGGTGGAAACTAGAGACGTGCAAATAGGTGGTTTATAGCACCCGCCGCCTTGCAAGGGCTCTGCTAGGGCCAGGTTTTGGGGTACGCCAAGATCATGGGT